TTTCCTAATATAACAAATCACCTCCTTAATATACAGATTCTGTTTCATCCCCAGACGATTTCGATTGTGGACCAAACAGACGGCAGAAGCAGCGAGATTTCTGGTCACAAATAACATTTCGTCGTCTCCGGTCACATAGTTCGATACTGTGGAGATTAGACGGCCGAATAACGATTATTTTGGTCACAAATCGAACGACGTAAGCTCCGATCAAATTTCAACAGTTGTACGCGAGTTTCGTTTGTGTTGAAGTTCCAATTGATTGCGCCAATCTGTGGCTCCGAGATTGGAAGCAAACGTTTCCATTGCCGGCACTGATAATACACATTGCCCATTGGTATGTCAGGCTATCCCATTGACGATTATTGTTCTATATTGTTTTCATAAATTTGTGACTCCAATTGATACTGTTGTATATAGTTTTCATTGGACATTTGTATCATGTGTCCTCCCTGATCTTCAATCTGTGAACCAAACCATGTATTTGTCATGCATAGATTCGAATGAAGTACTGACTCCAGACCATTAATTTCTGTGACCTCCGTGCTCTCCTATCTGTGACAGGAGATGCATATGTGACCTGCATGAATTTCAAATTATTTCCGTCTTCATAAATTTATATCTTGTGACCTGCATGATCAATTACTTGTGACCCCAAACACATATTTGACTTGCATGAATTCAAATGAAGTAGTGACTCCATATATTTACTTTCTGTATCCTCTGTGCTCTCCTATCTGTGACCAGAAATGCATATTAACCTGCATGAATTGAATCTATTACTGATTTCCTACATTTATATCCTGTTCATCAATTACCTGTGACCATAACACATATGTGACCTGCATGAATTCAATTTAAATACTAAGTTACTATATCTAAATTTTGTGACCTGCATGATCTCCTACCTGTGACCCGAATCACATTTGTGACCTGATTTTAGTACTGACACCATACATTTAATTTTGCAGGTATTACCTGTGACCTCTGAACATAAAGCAAACTGTGATATGTAATCCGATATGTGACCTCTGGACATGTTCTGTGACTAACACGCTATTCACTTAACAACAATAAACTTTTCCACAGATCACCATAAAGCAAAGTGTAATATGAAGTAAACCACGTGACCTCTGAACATAAAGCAAAGTGTAATGTTTACCCTGTGACTGCAAAACATAAAGCAAATTGTAATATGAAGTAAGACCTGTGACCTTTGAACATAAAGAAAATTGTAATATAAAGTAATAAGACCTGTGACCTCTGAACATAAAGCAAACTGTGATATGTAATCCGATCTGTGACCTCTGGACATGTTTTGTGACCAATACACTATTCACTTAACAACATTAAATTTTTCCACAGATCATCATTTGCAATTTACACCAAACGATTAAAAAATAGCATGTAAGACAAAATCATCCCTGATCGACAATCAAAATGAGCCAATTACTATCAAAACAATCATTGTAAACGTGTCCCAGTCAAACAAACTACTGCATATCCAAAAAAACAATGACACCAGAAAAAAAAGACACACAGACCCATCAAAAACTTTACATAGATTGTTCATTGTTTTACAAATTTAACAAGAAAATGGGCAGCCATCAGTCAAACGAGAACATCATCGCCTTCTTTACGCTATGCTCCTATGCTTATACAGCCTTGTGGCAATGTCAAGCCTTATTCTCCCCGCATCAAATTTGATCGGCATCGAATCCTTATCATCATGTAGCAGGTACTCAGCATACTTGATGGTGAATATGCCGCAGTCGTGTCTGGAAAAAAACAAATCACAAACTATTAGATCGCATGACAGAAATCAGAATAGGAGATGTGAGGTCACATGCTTCATTATAGATCAATATGCCTGCACAAGCTCTTATTCCAAAGCAATATGATCCCAATTAAAGCATGTTAGAAGAGTGAGTGGTAGGCTCAAGTCACAATAGCTTAAGGTGGTTCCTAATTTGAGGATTACCCTCTGAATCATGTAACAGGTCACATGTAGGCTATATAATCAAATAACATGTTACAAATGAAATTAACACGATGGGAAGAAAACAGGTCACAAGTAGGGTATAAAACACCAATACACGAGTGAGGTCACAGGAATACATTCACATCCAAATATGTGCTTTCGCCATAAAAAACCCCCAAACTTCATCAATAGATCTCAATCAGCAGGTCATAGATGAAATGAATAACAATGAAACACAAATTTGCAACTCAACTCATAATTTCCACACAGAGCTCAAAAGAAAAAATAAAATCATGATGGAGTTCATTATGTAATTCCATATAAAAAACTCATGAAAAAATTGAAATGTTTGTTCGAATCGGCGATTGCCATTTGACCCATGCATTTACCTTCTTCCCCAACTGAATGCCAATGGACCCATGCAATTTTTGCATTTTCGTTGTCCTTTTAGTAAGTGTCTCCGTTGTCTTCCTTTTGTTTCTACGCACCGGCGTCTGCACGGGCTTTTTGCCCTTCATTTCCTCGTTCATTTTCGCCATTTGTCTATACTGTCGAACGATTTCTCACAGACAATATTTGACAGCACTGGAGATTGGGTGGAGGTTTATCACAGCAGTTTTCTGGAAGTGGTGGAGATGGCGTGATAAAATTGGAGACGAGATCGTGTTCGAGAGAAATAAGGGCTTAATCGATATGGAAGTTGATATTAACCATTTTTAAAACCCACAATTAATGGGATACGCNCCGGCTTGGCGGCTGTCGGAATCTCCGGAAGGGTATCTTACAGAAGAAGCGGTGGCTTTTGAAATCTGGGAATGCCACGGAAGGATAAAGATGAAGTTGTTGATATCAGTTTGGTACCTCAGCATCATCCCACATCAAAAATAGAAAACAAAGCCTAACTTTGTACCCTTTTAACTGAACCGCAAGATGGAAGTGAGCTGAGCCCAATATCTTGCCTAGCGAGACCTGGGCCCAGAAAAGCCCACAGGCCACTTATTGCAGAAATTACAGGCCCAGTAAAGGGAACCCTCCAAGCTATGGTGGATCTTGCCTTTGGGTTAGTGGGCTGAGACGAGTGCGGAGCCTTAGACCTTGCTGCAGTCACTTTAAACAGAATTTTTCTAAAATTTTAAACCAGTACTCTTTTGACATTAAGGTATTGATAATAGTCTATTGAATATAACTCATCGCTCTAATCGCTGCATGATTTTTGGTAAGCTAAGCACATTTCTGAATTCTAATCAGCAATCTGTAATTTGACTTGCATTGTCTCAGAAATTTCTCAAACACAATGAATGTAGTAAATAGATAGACATAATTATTTTACCTCTGCAAAAGTTATCGAGGTCTATCTTACATGTTAATGCAACATATTGTAACTCCACTCCATATATATGGAGATTTAATCCATAATAAAAATGATACATATAGCTAGCTTACGTCTTGCTGGTGGGAATTCCGATAGGTGCAGCTCGTGATCTTTTCTCCACTGTCCGAGAAAGCTCTTTAACTGCATCTTTGGCCAGATCGCGAGGTTGGCTCAGCCAAAGTCCTCCATCAACTATAAGGGTTGTCCCGTTTATGTACTTCCCTTCATATGATAGAAGTTGTCAGGACTTAAAGAACAGCAAATTATAGAGAAAAATAAATTATGAGGCCCGGGAAAGGAATTTGCATCACCAATTGAGCTAGAGAAAAGGAATGGCGCAAAGCAGGCTCATGCAGAGACTTAAGGAACAATGACAGAACACAAATAGAAAGTAAAACTACCAATTGAGAAAAATGACGGCATAATCCACATCACATCACATGACATCAATTCAAATTTCATTTAATAAACACCAAGTTATCTCAGCAATCGACTCTTGTTTAAGGATAAATCTCAACTTGCCATATGCATATATAACGTATGAGGCAAGATTACCAACCGGCATCTGAGGCAAGGTAAAGAGCAGCCATGGCAATATCCCACTTCTCGCCAAGTTTATACAGGGGCATATAGTCTCTGGCTTTGCTATTTATTTCTTGAGGAACGAGCTTTCTCATGCCAGTAGTATCTCCGATAGGACCTGGTGCAATCCCATTAACTCTGATTTCATAGTCAGTTCCCCACTCTAGAGCTAAATTTCTGGTGAGGGCATCAACAGCTGCCTGAAAGACAGAACAGTTGATCAGAAAATCTTAAACAAGCCAAACTCTCAGCAAAAATGTAATCCACAAACCTTGGCTGCAGATACATGGATTTGATACCAAGATGCCGTGTAATGTAAAGTGGCACTGATGTTCAATATAAATCCTCCACTAGATGAGCTCCTTCCCGGTCCATCTTTCTTAAGATACTTCAGTGCTTCGTGACACATTGTAAATGTACCAACAGAATCGATATCCATTACTACAGAATGTAATTACGTCATCAAACATTTAGATTAGAGCTTTCAAGAATGCTTCAAGTTACTGCTATAATCAAATAGTGATCATCAACTAGATATCCCTATATGTTATACTTGCCCTCGTACTATAAATATGATATGTTCTTATCCATCGTTTCAGAAGAATCAATGAACCCCTTCTCTAAAATCATTTCCAAGGTAACAGATGCCGTTCATTGATTTCTTTGATCATCACTTAAGATTATTGGCTCTCTTCACAAAGTAGTGTTAAATGAAAGGGCCAGATGAGACATTATTGATTCAATGAAATTTAAGGAATGAATTGTGTTAATAATTGAAGGTACCTAACAAATTCATGAACGAAAGGTTTATAGTATCAAAAGCTGAAGAAATGATGGGGTAGAAGTTCCCAAAATCGAACCTGTTTTAAAGCCATTAGGAGACAGATCCTCAGCCGACACAAGAAAATTGCCGGCAGCAGCATTGACAAGAATGTCGAGCTTCCCAAAATGCTTGACAGTTGCTGCCACTACTCTTTGTGCATCCTCCAGTTTTCGAACATCTCCTTCAAGTCCAATTGCCTTAAAATCATAAAAACCAAAAACATAATAGCAGATCCATTCTAACCAATTATACAAGTATCAATGAAAATTCCCAAAAATTCCCTATAAGAATCCAACTCCATCCAATACTTGCAGTTCATTTCCATTATTACTTTTCAATTATTCATTCCAAACACATAAATTAATATGGCCAAAAGCAACGCCATTAAGTGGTCCCTTTTGAGCAAAAAAGACACAGAGATTCAATTTTGACCAATTTCCAACAAGAAAACTAAGAAGCTATAGTAACCTGTAATTCGCAAAATACAGCAGACACAAAAAAGGCCCGAAAGTTTCTCAAACAAATTCAGTAAAATTCTACTCTTTCACGAGATTACTTAGAACTTAATACGTAAAAAAAATAAAGAATTTACCGGGATGCCGAGGGAGTGAAGTGCGGATACGGCGGAGTCAAGAACGCTCTTCCGGCGGCCCATAATAGCAACGGATGCTCCATGTTTTCCGAACTGGGTTGAGATCTCGAACCCGATACCTGACCCACCTCCAGTCAATAATGCTACTTTGCCTTTCAATATATTTGCCTTGAAGGGAGACTCCATTTCCGTTGATCCGATTCAAGTATTTCTCCTTTTATTGGCCTTGCATAGTACGAGTGGACGACACAATTCAAAGGCCTCCTTCAATCGAGAAATATTTGGGTAGGCACCGTCCTACAGTGGGAACCGTCCTACGCGTTGACTTTGAGTTCAACTTTGAATTGAAATCGAAATCGAAATCGACTTGATTGGTTTCGGTAAATTTTAATTCAAATCGATTCAGTCCAGTCATTGAATTGAACAAGATCAAATCGATTTGGATCAACTTGGTTTGATTAGATTAATCGGTTTGGACAATGGTACGAGTTAAAAAAAATTGCATAACTATTGGGTTAAAAAATTTGATTTCATGTACATATATGTATATTTTTGCTTGCGTAATGCATATCGATAATACATATAACGTAAATGGTAAATGATCGATCTTTTTAAAATCATTGTATATATTCGATGATTACCAACAAACAATTACACCAAAATAAAAAGTAATGCTACAATCTAAATTTAGAGTTTAAAACAAACGCTTCTTCTTCTTACTTTTTTTATTTTAAAATTTAGAAGAAACGTAGAGGTAAACAAATTATCTGAGAATGAATTATATTCTTGTTTTTATTATTTTATTTTTAAGTTTAAAAGGATAAATTTTAAAATTAAAAAAAAAAATGCATTAGCAGGGCGAATCAGTTAATTGACCGGTTGGTTGCCTAAACCGAAACTAGTCCGACTTGACTTTTTAATGGTTAAAATCAACTTAATCAAACCAATCCAAACTAACCTGACTCGGTTTGGTTTGGTCGTTTTGTCCGTTTTTTGCCTACCCCTAGGAATGAGGCACAATACTTGTTGTGGATTTGTCATCATTTTTCGTTTTAGGGCCCGTTTGGGATAGATATTGTGGAAGTCAAAATGAGCTTGTAAAATTCAAAAGCTATTTTTTAACAGTTTGATTAATTTTATAAAAGTTCTTCTCGTAGTTATAAATTAATTATTTCCTCTATAAACTCTTACGGAAGAGGAAGCTTTTTGGGAATTACCAATTAAAGTAATTTGCTCATAAAATTCTTCTATGAGGAGCATATGCAAAAGTAAAAATCATGTCAAACGAATTTTAAATGTTTGAACTTTGAAGGATTCCAACATCCAAAGCAGACTTCTCTATGGCCGCAGAGAAATGATATTCATCCCCACTGAGAATGCATCCCCAATCTATGTGGCGTTAATGTGGCATTAAATAATAGGTGAAATTAAATAAGTCATTTAATTTCACCTATCATTTAACCAATTATTTACATCCACATAGACTAGGGATGCATCCTCACTGAGGATGAATAGCATTTTTCCATCAGAATGGTCTGGTTGTAGTCTTTGAAATTTGGACATCATTGGCTCTATTTGAGCATATTCATATAGTAAATATTTTAGAAAATACTGTATACCATAATTAATTCTAATGTAGTCTTTGTAACTGACGAAATTTTAAATTATTCCTAATATTACACCAAACATTAATGCCCTTTCAAAACGCATTGCAAAATTCAAAAATGCATGATTTTTGGCAAAACATATCCCCATTTTCATGTGAAGCCGACCACCCTTTCGTTCTTGCTTGACTGTCCAACCATCAAGAAGTTGTCTTTGCTGCAGAAATACATAATCTGATCTTAGAATTTCGAATTTGTAAATGTAATTTTTTCATAAATTCTTGTCACATCTGATTCACGGTTCGAGAATATGTTGCAATTATTTGTATGTCATTTCGAAAACAACTAAATCTACTTACAATTCACATTTCCCGTCATTTTGATTTCACGATCCACCAAGCTGCGACTTAGCTTTTGTTGTTAATACGGTATTTCGAATCAGATTCTAAATTTTTATTTCGCCCGTGAATATTTATTATGTTTCATCTTGGTATGTGGATTTCTAGATGCTGGGATAAAATCTATTTCAATTGTTAGGATGGATGACCGTATACTGTAATCCATAAGTGGAAATATTATTTTTCATACATCATTCGATTACCACAATATTTTGGGTTTCATAATATTAAAATTCAATTTCATAATTACTGTATCATTGCTTATAGGATGCCTCTGTGTTAAGGCTATGTTTATTGATCAGTTTCATTATTGCAACCCACAATCCAAGAATAACTATGTACAACATCACTTAATAACCGCAACTTGATAATATGACACATTGTCAACGAAGTTTGAAATATTGACATATTGTCAATGAAGCTTCAAATAACAACGATTATTGTAAAAGGAAGGCTTCAATTTGTTTGAATGTGCTGTTTTTATGAGCGTGATTAGGGTTTATGTATTGGCGGATAAACCTCAATCATACTTGTATTCATGATCAAACAATGATTTTATAATATATTTTGATACAATCAGTAGTGATGTGAGTATGGGTGAGGATATGTGAGATATGATTCTTTGATTTCTTGAGTGTTATGAATGGGGGTTTTTTGGAATAAATACGAACCGACGAGCATTAGGGTATTTAGACTGAAAAACTATGGGGATGGACCATGATTGGAGGGAAATCTATTTAAAAATATGAAGGAGAGTGTTTGGTGGCATCTATTTAACTCACGATTGATTTGCCTATAATGAGTGAAGTGATTCATTCATTTTTCATTTTACTATATTTTTTAAAGTAAAATATGAAAAAAGAAAAAAGTCATTACAAAGTATTTCCTGAATTTTTTTCAAATAATAGGTGATGGGTATGATGTCCGCATACAAAATTAGAAAGCCCAAAGCACAATATGCTGGGCCTAATTCAACTCAAAAAACAACTGGCCCACCATTACATTGAGTCGGGGCAACATGGGCCTATCCTTTTGCAAAAGGGAAAATTGCAAAAGTTGAAAAGAATATTTATTCTCACCTAAAAATATAATCCTACATTGTAGCAAATTAATCATTTTGTTTGTCAAGAACATGTTGGTCGACTGTATGGTAAAATTGAACTCTGCAAAAAATTTGATCTGCCATTGAAGCATGTTGATGAAACGTGCACTGAGAAAGACTCTTTATCCCACCTAGCTCAGTCGATTAAATGGTTCACAAGGTGCCCATCTTCGAGAAGGCCTGAATGAAAGACCCAACTATCTTCGACCTTTCACCATGTGACCCTGTGAGAATTTAATGATCGCAATGTCTGATTAGTTAAATATTTATAGTGAACATGTTTTCGATTCTTATAAAACGTTTAATATTGTGACTTCACATGTTTTTTGTAATCTCGAATTTACTGTTAATAATGAAATATGACTATTGACCTGCTATCCTTAAGAATTGTGGTCACTCTTGCGAGGTACGTGACTAACCTCCGTCATTATGACACTAAATGGTTGTTTTACGATGAATAATTGTGACTTTGTCCTTTTTCGGTCGTAGAATTTGGTGATGAAGAAAATCTCTCTCCAAATATCGGAATAAAATGATTTTTTTTTTTTTTATTTTTTTTTTTTTTTGTAATTTATCGTAATTTTAGAAACATATCAATTTAAAGTTATGCATATTCGATGTTTCTTTAACTTTTTTTTTTTTTTAATTAATTTTCGGCGAATCTAATCAATATGACTTTTTGTCTTGACAAACCCTGTATAGGTATGTATACAGCTAGCATATTTGAATTAGGATGAACCTTTTCAATTTAATTAGCTGAACTAATTTCCAACTACTTCATACTTTCTTTGCTTTGGATCTATGATTGATAGATTAGGTCAACTGTTCTTCGCCATGTGGACCGAAAATGTTAGGGATCAATGGAGGAGGAGGGTTTCTTTTAGATATATCCTAGTAGATGTAGTTACAAATAAAATGAAATGGCGAAGAAGAAATCATATGGGCGATCTCGAATAAGTTGAATAAGTCACAGTTGTAACTTCGTTGTGTTCTGGATAGTATTCCAGACTGTGTCTCAAGCTATTTGGCTTGTTTCGTCTGTAATCGTTTTATCCAATTGATTTATGACAAGTTCTTATCAAAAAAAAAAAAATTGCGAGAGAGTAATGGAGGAAGTCCGTCTAGAATTTCTTGCAAAAATTTCGACCGACGTCAAGAAATTAAATTAAAAATGCATACATGTACGTGCGAGGAGGTCTATTGATACTTAATGTGATGTGGGACCTTTAAATCAACTTGGGAATTTAAGCAGAATAACTCTGTAATGTTTGTTGGAATTTGATACAATATAATCTTTTGCCTAAGTAGTATTGAGATTTTTTTGACAGGTTGGCTTGTTGCGTGGGACTTTTTCCCCTTATATATAGGCCATCAAATTGGAACTTGACGCAATAGTCATGTGAAGTTACCGTGATCGATCAGGCATATGTGTCACTGACCTATTTGAAGACGATTGATTGAAGAATTTGGTAATGGCGAGTCATCATGACGCATAGCCGCATAGGCCTTTGGCTTCATGACTTGACCTATTTGAAGATAATCGATTGAAGAATTTGGTAATGGCGGATTCATCATGACGCATAGCCACATAGGCCTTTGACTTCATAACTTTTGCAATCGTAACATAATAATATTTTCATGCGATGTCATATATGGAATTTGCGCGGGGGGGGGGGGCTTGGGCCGTCCTCTCATATTATCCTATTTGGCTTGGGTAAAAAGTCCTCTTTTTTATTAATTCAAGCTGGCTCCACCAGTGATTCGACGTGAATTTTCAGAGCAGACGCCAACCGATACTATGACAATTATTTATTAAAAAAATGAAATTCCAGTAAACATTGAATATAATGTTTCCTCAATCCTAGGCCAACTAAAGTTGTCTCATTGCTTGTTTGGCCGACCTTATAGAATACGAGTTTGTGACAAACACATAAAACAATTTTATGTAATTAGTTTTAAGGCATTGGGATTATGTTAAATTCCTCATAGACCAATTGCCTTATTTCATATGCCGGCTTCCTATTCATTTCCAGTATTTATGTATTTAATTAATTATTTGGCAACTCCTAAATTATCGACTTTATGGTGCCACCAAATTTATGATGGCTGCATTCACATCTCTTTCATTTCACCCACCGCCCATTTAACTTCCCATGAATAGTTAATGGCCAACAAAACGAATAGCTCATTAAGCTCGTTGTTTTTGAAAAGTCAAAAAAGTTACTTTTAAACCAGTTTGAATAATTTTTATCTGATCAGAAGAACTTTTAAAGAAAGAAGATCTAATATAACTTTCTTAGAAAAAAGTTAGTCCACAATAAGTAGAAGTAAAAACAAAAGACCATCCAAACAGATCGATGTATTCGACCATCTTTTTATCAAAAACTTGGAAAAAAACAATTAATTTTCCAAACGAATTAAGTTTATTGATTGTATCCCTTATCAATTATCATAATATCTTATGACTTTTGGCTTATTTTAATGGATTTTTCCTTTCTTTTTGGCTTTCTTGTGAGGGTGAAAGGCGTTGTAACTAAAGATGCCAAGTTCTTGAAAAGCAGGCAAGATTATTCATGGATATTGACTATTTTAATATGCCACGAAGATGTGTTCCTCACCTCAAACAAGGAGAATATTCTTGCTAAAGATGGTTAAAAATAGACATGCATATTGCTTACACAACTAGTTTAAAAGGCCTCAATTCCTATACTCCCCTCCCATCAAAATCATCAATGGAAGCCATGAATGGTTTGCTTTCTTTTCCCATGTATGAGAATCTCAACCAAGATTCCGCCATTCGACAATTTTGCGCGGCCCGTGTGCAGCAAGAACAAGGAGGAGAATGGGGAGAAATTTTGCTAGAGGAGATGGATCTTTGGCCACATTTTGATAGCACTCCTCCATTGGCCACCTCTGAGGTGGAGGAAATCGTCGACAGCTTCTTTAACGTGGAATGCTATGAAAAAGATAATGCTAACAAGTCATCAGATGACGAAATTGGACTATTTAATCAGTATCCAGAAGAGGGACTCCAAGATTTTTCAGAGATTGATGGTTTCTACTATGATGGAGATGTTCCAATGATGATGACTAACGAGGGTGAATTGGAAGAGTGTGGCTCTAGCCACGATCTTGTGTTTTGTTCGAACGTGGAGCCGAGTATAAAGGATGTCGTTGATCAAGGCCTTCATTTGGTGCAATTGTTGTTAGCTTGTGCTGAGGCTGTCGGTTGCAGGGACACACGACTTGCTGATACAATGTTAAGCCAAATCTGGTCTTGTGTGAGCCCTTGGGGCGATTCTTTGCAGAGAGTTTCGTATTGTTTTGCAATGGGATTAAAGAATAGATTATGCCTTCTTCAAAATGTGAATGCTGATGGTTCATTCTCTAATGGTGCCGTTGATGTCTCTTCGATCACAAGGGAGGAAAAGAACGAAGCCTTTGATCTGTTACACCAGACAACTCCTTATATTGCTTTTGGTTTCATGGCTGCAAATGACGCTATATCTCAAGCAGCAATGAGAAAAGACTCTTTGCACATAATTGATCTTGGAATGGAACACAATCTTCAGTGGCCTTCTTTAGTAAGAACTTTGGGATCACGACCCGAAGGCCCCCCAAAACTAGTTCGGATCACGGGCATAATTGGAGACCAGGATCCACTGGAGCTTGAGATTAGCCTGAAGGGCCTCGTTGAAGATGCCAGTTCTTTGGGCATTCATTTGGAATTCAACATGATGGCAGAGCCAGTATCGACGTTAGTATTAACCAATGAGAAGCTCGAGTTAAGAGAAGGAGAAGCATTGTTTGTAAATAGTATCCTGAATTTGCACAAACATGTGAAGGAAAGCAGAGGATCCCTAAAGACCATTCTTCAAACAATTAAGAAACTAAATCCAGTTCTTTTAACAGTGGTTGAACAAGATGCCAACCACAATGGGCCATTCTTTCTCGGAAGATTCCTAGAATCTCTTCATTATTATTCTGCCATTTTTGATTCCCTCGAAGCAAGTATCCCGAGAACTAGCCCAGAGAGGCTAAAGATCGAAAAATTTCATTTTGCAGAGCAAATTCGCAATGTTATAGCATTTGAAGGTTCTAGCAGGATTGAGAGACATGAAAGGGCAGATCAGTGGCGTAGACAGCTAGCTCGTGCGGGTTTTCAAGTAGTAGGAATGAAGTGTATGAGCCAAGCTAGGTCAATGATTTCTGTCTATGGCTGTGATGGTTACACCATATCCAGTGAAAAGGGTTGCCTTCTGCTTGGATGGAAAGGAAGGCCAATAATGTTGGCATCAGCATGGCAAGTGCACAATGCCACTTCCTCCTAAGCTTGCTTGGATAAGCTGCTTTTTTTCTCCCATCACAATTGATTATTCATTAACAAGACATTTGATTATCATCTCGTTACAAATAAAGTGAATAAAATTTTGAGACACAAATTATCCTCCATTCGGATACAAATTTATAAATGGTTTATAAATTCAATCAAAGTGAAACATTAATTTTAACAACTCATTCATAACTCCATGCATTCCGGGAGATCAACTACTAATTCCTCTTTATAAACCATTTATAAATTTGCCAAACAGAGGCTTAATTTGAAATTAAGTAATGCAGCAATTGATATTTGGTCTCTACTGCTAAAGAATGCTCAATTATGTCAAAAACTCGAGACAAATTGAACTCCATTACACATCTTCAACCTGTCCACAGAAATGTAAAAGCATACCCCAGATTCAAAAAACTCGGCCTCTTATATCTCATGAGCCATTTCCAAGCATATGTTACTTCTATTAACAATATATCACTCATTGTCCTCTGTGTATATGTTTGAATGTAAAAAATATATTGCCTTCAGTGAAGAAAGCATCAACCTGCTAGTAGTGCCCTATGAACCTGTCTTTCGAGTTTGGGCCGAGGCAGACATTATGCGCAAACGGTTAGTAATTTCCGTAAAAGTTGGTCTTGCTGCAGGATTTGGGGCCCAACACTGCTCCATCAACCTTCTCCAATCTGGATCGCAGTGGCTTGGAATGGTTGGCCTTAATGTGTTGTTGACAATGCCACCTGCAAGGAAGAAGACTCCTCAACTTTAGGAACGTATATTCAAATGAGTGAAATAAAAGAAAAGTACATAGACCAGAAATATCCTGCAATCTATACAATTCATCAGATTAACTCCAAATTCCATCGGACCTAGAATCAATCCCATCCCTCTTTCTTTTCCAAGTAACTTCTAATATAGGTTCTCCTCAAGATTAATGGGGAGGCAGCTTCTGCTGAGTTTAAATACATTAGGCCCCTGTTTGGTTCAGCTAAAAAATGGGATTAAAATCTAAATGATCCCATCGTACACCCTCAATAATAGAGAAAAATATGGGATTTTAGTTAAATGACGTGGAACATTTTGAGTAAAAAATGCATAAACTGCAGAGTACTATTTGCTAAAAATACACCAAAAGGAGAGCTATTCAGTCAGTAAAACTTTCCTTGTATATTTCTAAAACCTGTTAAAACTTGAAGGATGGTATGCATGCATATGTCATAATTACTAATCTTTCTTCTAATATATGATTTCTGCCTAAGTAAAGGAGTCAAGATGTAGAGGGCATTTGAAAAAAGTGAACTAGGAAGGTGGATCCAGATTAAGTACTGAATAACAAAGCCGCATTGAAAATATAAGATACTGTTTGGTTAGACACTGATATTCATATTGAGTTTAATAGTATCTGTAATTTACACCTCATGTTACATGAAATGTTTTTCTCAACTTTGTAATTTGAACTAGTTTTTAGTGGTTCTTATATTTTTAAGCAGTGGCATTTAGATTCTATTAAACATACATAACCAAATAAGTACTTAAATGCTTTAGCATGAAGTGTTTTATCAAACACCAAGGACGCTGCAGTAAGCGATTTCAAGCAATAAAACTTCTGAAAATGTCAAATTATAACATTTGTTCCCTTGCATATATTGCCTGTATATAGCTAAAAAGAGGAAACATTCTAATGAAAAATGTCAAGCAGAAAATAGGAGGACCCATTTTCTAAAATCATGTTTGGGAAGTGTTTGTAAACAGTCAAAATTATAAATACATAGAAATGAGTGGTGGATAAGTGAATAGTACTTGTGGGTAACTGGGTACCATGAAATACGTGGATAACAAATGGGTTGACCGATTGTAACAGTTAATAGACATTAAACAAACACGAACTAAAGCAGATTTGTGCAATCCACATCTAAGTAAAAAGGACTCCAGAATGAATGACTTTTTAGCAGAATATGCTAATGGCTGATGAACTTAGGTCATAGATAGAGTCGTGTAACATTAAGAACTTCACAAAGCCAAGGATATTATAAAATATTAAGCAAATGATAATTGTGCCCATTCCATGTAAAAATGGTCCTATTTTGAAGGTTTTACGGCACATGTATGCAGAAAATATACAGCGGCCACATAAGTTAACCGGTTAATTTAACAGCTGATAAGGACACTATTCATTTTACATCTGCTAAGAAAATTCTGTACCAAGTCAAAAAACTAAAAATGCGCACCTATGATAGCACCATAATGCATGTTGGCGTAGGGTTCGTCCCCAGTGAGTATCTCCCACAAGACAATACCAAAGGAAAATACATCAACCTGTTGGACACCAAAAACAGTGGTGTCATAAGATCACCTAGAAGGATTAGATATTCGTTGGCTTTGAAAGTAGGAGGAATAAGGGTAATGTGAACACTTATGTGTCCTTTTATATTCGTTTTTCCTTGCAAAATAGTTTATATGGTTATGATCTCTAGTCTCACCAAATACTGTTTAAAAGCTTCTCATAATTTTTCATAAGAAATTTCACTAAACAGAGAATTTTTTGCATCCATAAGACACATCTTCAAGAAATCCTGCTAGTGAAGGAAAAAATTGTTTTGTTAAGTTCTCTATTCTTGTAGTTTCCCAAAGATACTTTTTCATATGTTGGTGTCTTACCTTCTCAGAAACTTTAATGCTGCTACCATCCAGCAACTCTGGAGCCATCCATGGAAGAGTCCCCCTAACTCCAGCGGAAACCAAGGTGTTTCGCTTTATTTTCGACAGACCAAAATCACCTACCTAATAGATTGTAATACAACATCAGAACTAAATGGATTGCAAATTAGAAATCATGCTTACTGTGAATTTTACTAATCTCCCATCACAATAAAAATAAAGCCTATCACATATATAAATAAAGGTGGCGGAGCAGGATCCCATCAAGATAACCTTGCATATAGGTCGTGAAGGATCTTTCAAATTAACCAGCAAATTGTCACATTTCAGATCAAAGTGAACAATATTCTTCGAATGCAGATATTCCATCCCAAATGCTGCATCCATGGCAATTATAAGCCGCTTACGGCGATCAAGATGCCTGCAATATCATATTAAAAACAAAGAGGAATATTATAGAGGCAAAGGTAGTGTGAAGGAGAAACAAATGGATAACAAATCCAAAGTTAATTTATATCGAATATTTGGTTTGCAACAAAAAGAGAAGAACTTAAGAGGTACACAGTTATAACAAAATGAAACTAAAATCAAATTTGAAGAACCACATGTGGAAGTAGTACCTATCCTTCCGAACTAAAACATGCCTCAAAGAACCATCAACCATGTACTCTGTCACAGTTGCCAAGGTTCCCCCTGGTCCATCTTGTACTACACCGTAAAATGCAACTACATTTGGGTGGTGAAGCTTTGAGAGAATTTCAGCTTCCCTCCAGAAATCTATAGCCTGAAGCAGCATTAGCACAAAAATAAATATCAATTAGCTCATATATGGAGGACTAGGAGTGGGGCTATACAATTCTTTCAATGTGCATAACTTCGTTCAATAGTAGGAAACATACCCAATGACACCAAACATGTAGTTCAACGTCTATTAAGAAAAAACAAAACCAAGCATGTAAGAATGAAGGACAGATTACCAATCTCTCTTGCTCTGACTGTCGACCAGTAAAACAACTTTTCTTTATTCGCTTGATAGCAACATCAGAGCCTCTCCATTTTCCATGAAAAACTGTCCCAAATGTTCCAGAACCAAGTTCCCTCAATTCCTCCAAATCTTCATTCTTTATGATCTGTAAATCAATTATGAATGGTCATGTAAATTATAAGTGGTGAATCTATTTCCTCGGTCATTAAGTTGACACTTTCAACTAAGTTCATGTTTCCAGGATCCTTTAATAATCAAAAGAAAACTAGCAAATGGTTAGTTGACTGAATTTCAATTATGACAAAGATCTGAATAGCAAAGAGCATAAAACAACCTGCGTTTGACATTGGTGGCAACAAATAATTGTCACGATTTTATATATGCTACGTTATTTACCAATTAATTTGGGCTGCTGATTTGACCCAGTGATAATAATGCCAAATAGTTAGTTTGGTAAAACCATGTGGTGGGTCGGGTTCACCTGTGCTTTTATAGCGTGAGATAACAAGTCAGATTCCTTTAACATATAACTAACCGAATCTGGCAACCTTTTAAAACTCTATTGTTTTTGCTTAAATCAATTGAAAAAGGTTATAGTTGTGAGGTGTGACGTAGGCTTGGGTTCTAGGAGTCCAATGTATCAACAGAAACATTTCATTATTTCTGCTAATTACTCTAACCAAAATCATGTGATCATAAGGACGAACAAAGAAAACTCAGATTACTGCTGATTCCAGACATTAAATGAGTAACCGCAACAAAGCAAAACCATGTCGTGCCTTGCGACAACAAACAATTTCGCTGAACAGAACAATCGAACATAAAAAATAAAAATAAAAAATTAATCGTGTTAAGGCGCGACCATACCTGCAATGCGTTTATATCAAAATCTACCAAAGAAGGATCTAGAGGAGGTAAGCCAATACTTCCAATCCCATCCTAAAATCATAGTCAAAATTAGAATACATTCCATTGGAAAAGAGTTCATGTTATTAAATGACACCTAGTCTTAATTACTAAAGATATACCTCTGAGTTTCTTACTCTTAATTATTAAAAGAACAAAAATACCTCATAGTCTGAGTCTCGAACTCTCGTGTTATCCATCAAATCATCATACTGCATTCCTTCACTAGCTTTCACTCGGGAAGTACCATAATTGAAATCTGTGACTACAGAGGCAGCTCCTTCTCCACCAGGGATAATTTTGTTATCATCTTCACCATAAGTATCCCGCAGTTCCCTGCGATTTGGTCCATCTTTCGTCAATCGAGCATATTCATAAGTTAAAGGAGCATCTTCTTCAACTTTTGGCAGTCCAGATGAAAATCCAACATGGTCTTGATCCATAAGAGAAACATCCCTTTTTGCAAACCCATCCCCTGCTAATCTCTGGAAGAAGGACCAGTGTTTAGGTTCATGGTTCTCTATGTTTACACTTATGCCTGCTCCATCCTTTTGCAGTTGACAAATATTCGATGAACCATCAGAGAGTATAGCTTTCGAGAATATATTAGAAAGAAGATCGCGAGGGAATCGGTCGTTAATGTCAATAAGGACCCTCTGCTCGGTTCGGGGAACCCCAGTGGAGGGTCCATCCTGAGCCCCTGTCCAAGCAGAAGGTTCAGGGTGCTCATGGGCATTAGCAGCCAAGGATTCGCTGCTGACCTTTTCAACCCAATGAATTTGAGGAAGACCATTTGTTGGATCTTCATGGCATTTCGTTGAATCCACATGACTCACAGCTGGCAGCTTCACTCCTGCTTTTGCTTCAGCCAGACGAATCTGATTTTCATGCTTGGGATCTCTGACATCCGTGGAGTCCACCTGTTTCAACCTTTGAGGTTTCACAGGAAAATTATCATGGGTTGCAGTATCCACAGGAAAAGGCCTTTCGTTAGAAATTGACTGCTCAGTCAGGATATTTGGATTTTCATTTTCCTCTTTTTCATCAGACCCATTTATAAAATCTTGCTGGGCAACCCCAGAACGTGAATGATTGACGAGAAGCTGAGAAGAGTGTGAATCATCTGACTTCGATATTCTGCTAAGCAACTCTCCCTGCTCTCGGGGGATCCGCTCAGAATTAAAGACCCTCTGAGGAATAGGAGGCTCGAAGTAGCTCAAATCAGGATCAGGCTCAGACTTGATGGACTCAGGAACTAAAGCCTCGCTGCAAGTATCATAGTCATTGCCACTAGATATAGGCACGTGGGAGGGATTAACAGCATCAAGAGGCTTAGAGACCTTCAGAGGTTCCTGGGGCATGTCCTTTTTCTGAGTCTTTGCAGAAAATTCTCTGTCCAGTTTGGGGACCACAACTGACGATTCTTCCACAGGAAAACCACTGTTCCTGTTACCATTGTATGCCTGAGAAGTAACAAGGTGCTCAGTGACCATTTGATTACTTCCATTCCCACTTTCTGGTTGTTTTGAGACATCAACTTTAAGTTTCACCTCCTTTTCCTGTTCTTTTGTACCCTTCACAGTGAAACCATTCAATTTCTGCCCTTCAAGATCTTTCTTTTGAGCCATAAGCCCATAAGAAGTCTGTGGTACACAACTTTCAGGAGGTGAGAAATATGGAGGATGCAAATTGTATTCATATTGGAGAGGTTGTTGCTTGTGATCATCCCGGTGTGCTGTCTGACCATGATCAAAGTGCAAATCAATTTCATAATTCTTTGAGGAACCTGGTATAATAGATTGAGAGGATATGTTAGCAGATGACGAGTCAGCAAGGCCAGCCAAATTTGAGGTACTAACCCCAGTGATTTCATTTGCAGCTTTATTTGGGGCAATCTCAACATTCTGTGTATCTAACTCATTCAAATCGTTTCCATAAGAGTTTGCCAGACCACGTAGTGCAGAGCCTTTTCTCGATCCCATGTCCATGCCATTGATTGCAACTACATATTTTATCTCAGAATCAACATTGGAATTAGCTAAGGTGAAATGAGCATCATCCAATTCACCGGCAGAAAACAGGAATAACCGAAGTTTTTTTGAACCTTCTCCGTCTTCTAGTACATTGCACTCCTCCATCATATTCATTAGATCCTCATCACTAGACACTGAAACTAAAGCATCCAGCTCCTCCCCAGGAAGCTGATATTTTATGGTATGTGTCCAATCATAAATTGTGGTTGTTTTCTGCCACAGTTCTTGCCATGTAATGTCCTTTCTTATGCGGATCATGCGTGTTTCACCTCCAACATACCTGAGCTTTCCATCACTTGGCCGAGGTAGTATTTTACCACCAAAGCTGCAGAGAATCTTAAGCTTTGTTGATGAGCTATCCAAAGCTCCAGACGAGGTATACATAAGTGTCCAATCAGATGAATTCCGTGGTACAGACTGCATAGAACGTACAGAATCACAGTTACTTCTGTCTTCATGCAAAGACAAGTTCTTCCTTTCAAACTCTTTGGAACCTTTTTCTACCATAGAAATCTTAGAGATATCTGAACCGCTCTCCGAGCCAGTATGACTGATACCCAAAAAGCCTCTGAGTTCTAAGTAGCGAGGTGCATGATTCAGATCACTGGAAATATTTGGAACATTAGGTTTCCTGGGATTAACCCGATCACGCATGAATTCAAGAGCAAATTCCTCACCTGTCTGAATAGAGTAGTTATATACAGGTTTAGCTTCGGAAAAATTAACCTCGGGGGAACTGAAGCTGGCATTTGCATGACCAGAATGATCCATCTGGAACACTTGAGATTCAGGAGCACGTTCATCGATCCTGCGATCTGGGGGATTATATAGCACAAAATTATGATTTCTTGATTGTTCCATTTTGATAGTATTGAATTTCTTTTCCCTCCAATTCAACTTCAATGGAAACAACTGGTGACGCCACAATGCTATTAGTAACTTGAGAAAGCCATAAAGAAGAAGCCCAATCCTTAGTGCGGCAGAAGGAAAACTTTGTTTGAATACAAGTTTATTGACATTTACACAATACATATATGTAAAATTTGAGAAACATCGCCAGCACACCCTAAAAAACACAGTCGCAGCTCATGACACGGGAAACACCAGTAATAGAATTAAGGACCAGGAGCAAAAAGCACTGCAAAAAAGAATATAAATCAATTATTTTAGACAAAGAGCTTTCAAAATATAACAAACAGGAATGCATTGATATGAATATTCAAATGTTACAGCTTAGCTTTTTTACCTTTTGGTAATTATAAATCTACAATGGAAAAATATAGAGGAGATTATACCAGTTTTCTGATCCCCGAGGCAAGGTGATTGCTCCTTCGGGAAATTCCCAATAAAACATGGAAAAAAGATATAGATACTGGTTCTCCTAAAAATGCTCCAGTTTTTTTCCCCAGAAACCTAACCCCTTAATTTCAAAAATAAACCTGAATTGCCATTTATTGAAGTCCAGCAATGAAATTTTAGCTCTTGCAAAAGATGGCAAAAACCTGAATTATCAAGTGCATATTCCTATAATGTACTGCAATATCAGAGTGTCCCCAATTAAGAAGACACATCAACTTTCCAAAATTTGAAAATTCTACCCAATGAATCAGAAAATCAAATCAGCCTCCTCATTGCAGATATCAGTTCAAATAAATTAATGGAGCCGCTACTTCCATCCTCCATTCTTAAATACGTATCTTACTCTAAATCTAACCCCTATTCAAATTTTAAAATTATAAAAAAATATATATAATATTCATCCACGATACATTACAACATTATCCATATTAAATTCATTCATTTAGACACTATATATCCACACCACTTTATATATCTATCTCACTCTAAATCTATCCCCATTACAATTTTAAAATTTTTTAAAAATTATTATATTAATCCCCAGTAAATTTCAACATTACTCTCATTAAATTCATTCATTTAAATACTATATATCCACAAAGTTTAACCAAAAAAATAATAATAATAATAAATATAACGTTATCGAACCTCTGAAAAAAAGCAAGGCTAATATATTATACTATTTGTTACATTACTTACCTCTAGAAAAAATTAAGACTAATGCTAAGGTTTTTTCTCCCTTGTGCTAACATCAGATGGTACAAGATAAATCATACAATTACATAAAATTTCTAACACCTTGCTTGCATCACCCCTCTTCCCATTATAGTTTGTCTACAAATATATTGGACAAAGGTTATCACTACCAAAAAAATAATAAAAAAAGAAAGAGAAAGAGAAAGGAATGATATTTTAGAATTAAAATACAACATTATGATTGCGAGAATAATTGCGTTTGAATTACTTCCCAAGTATGCTTAATGGAAGACAAACCAATGAGAATATAAACGTCTAAAAGAATATAAAATGTCCAAAAGCATTTAATGTGGATAAATAGTAGTGGATCAATTTAGATTGGTAGATTTTATTTGGTTTTATTCTTATCTATTTAAGTGGAAGGATATATAAGAATGGTGAATGAAAATAGCATATTCCTAAATTTAACTTCTGTCATTTCTCGTTTTGAAGAAATTCAATACGCACACACACTCCAGTAAAAACTCTGCCGTACATATTCCTATAGTCGCAGAAATCCGGCAAACGAAAGGAGTTTTGATTAATCAGACACTTGGTTGACATTTTGATTTGAAGTCATGAACCCTTCAAATAAAAAGAGCTAATTATAAACCAATACGTTTCGACTCACCCATGCTTCGACGACTCAAACTAAGTTCTCACCCTAATCCCAAAATTTAATAATCGTCCAATTCTTGGTTCAACATAAAGTACTAAACATGTAAAATTTCATCATCTTAACAGGACGAAAATGAGCAGTGAAAAGATTGCACCGCTTCAATAACCCTAATTTGCAACACAAAATATCAAATAGAGCGGTACTACAAGATTTACTCACCATTGATTTAAATATACACACACATAACCAGTAGATCAAAATCAGATGACCTGAAAATCAGTAAATTTTACCTTAAAAAGCAATGCTTGCGTGAAGTCTAGCTGTTGACTGGGAATCTTATCCGCCATTAACGGAAATCTTCATTCGTGCAAAATTCTTGGCACTGGACACTGGTACTAAAATGTAAAAGTGTTAATTTCATAAATGGTCACTGAATTTTAAGGTAAATTTCAAATAGGTCACAAAAGTATTTTTGTGACCTATTTAGTCACTAAATTAAAATAATACAACACAATGGGCACCATTTTAGCAGTAATTACTCCAGATTTGACGTTGGCACATTAAACATTGACATTGATAGTGAAGACGAAACTCTTCATTCAACTCCGGCATATGGAGCAAGAAGACGCAACACTTCGATTAGTGGAAGCCAATCCACGGAGATTCTTTCTTTTCTTACGTTTAATTACCCTCTTTCAGTAAGATTTAGTCATATTCAATAATTTTCCCGTTTCTAGCTTCTCGATCACTCCTCAATTTGTTGTAGACATGCTCTATTAGTGTCGAACTTTTACTTCAAAAAAGAGATTTCCAAAAATAAAACACGATTCGTAAAAGAAAAAAATTGCATATTTTGCCATAACCATTTTCTTCTTTTAATAATTCATACATAGTAAAAATATCACGACAAAAACAAAACAAGAGGCTAACCAGAAGGAATCGATCGCTCTCAATTATGTAACAACGTATTTAAGGGTCGAATTGATCATAAACGTACTTTAATAATTAATTTGTAAGTTTTCTTGAACTTCAATGACCGTTAATGAGATTAACTCATATGTAAATGTAAATTCAAAGAGTGTTTATCCATTCGAAATTAACTTAATAAATAAGCGAGTAATGAATTATATACAAAGCGTCTGAATACATTCCACACTTTATAGACACGGGACAGCGACTTCTCGCACGTGACAAGGGAATTTTGCACTATACTTGAATTCTCATGTTAGTTTTTTAGTATTAAATTTTTAACTTATTTTTTTTACAGTTTTTATGAACTGTGCAGGTTAATCTTGCTTCAATATGTATATACAATTTTTTGTACAATTTCAATAATAATTTATATATATATATTCTTTAATTTGATTATTACCATAAGCAAATATGATTAACATTTCTGCTTCTTCTCTTTTTCCCTAAATTGAAGATAATAAAGAGAGTGAAGCTAATAAATAGCCGCGTAATTGTATCAGAGCATCTCTCGTTTAAACGTGGATTGTATTGGAAAAGTTATCCCATAAGTTGAAATGGTACTTATAAAAGTTCATCTCCAATGCAACACGTCTAGGACTATATTTAGCTCACGTGACGAGAAGAAAAAATAGATATAGTAAAGAAGTCAGTCTATAAGTACAGACTCTTTTAGATTGAGCGAGTCAACAAAATTCAATATTTCTTTATCTTTCCTCTCATTCCCTTTTCAGTTTCTTATTTCTTTCTTTATCTTGTTTATTAGTTTTTATTCATCTTTTTATATATAAAAAGTGCAACTTTATAGACACGGGACAGCGACTACAAGGGAATTTTGCACTATACTTGAATTCTCATTTTAGTTTTTTAGTATTAAATTTTTAACTTATTTTTTTACATTTTTTATGAACTGTGCAGGTTAATCTTGCTTCAATATGTATATACAATTTTTTTTTGTACAATTTCAATAATAATTTATATATATATTCTTTAATTTGATTATTACCATAAGCAATTATGATTTAACATTTTTTCCCCTAAATCGAAGCTAATAAAGAGAGTGAAGCTAATAAATAGCCGCGTAATTGTGTCATGAACTGTGTATACAATACACACGTATTGTATCAGAGCATCTCTCGTTTAAATGTGGATTGTATTGGAAAAGTTATCCCATAAGTTGAAATGGTACTTATAAAAGTTCTTCTCCAAAGCAACACGTCTAGGACTATATTTAGCTCACGTGACGAGAAGAAAAAATAGATATAGAGCTTGTTCGGTAGGGATTTTTTGGGGAATAATTGATTTTTGAATAGTGATATATTGAGAAATGTGTGGTTGAAAAAAAAGAAAAAATTATTGATGTGATGAAAAATATTATTTTATTGAAGAATGTGTGGTTGAAAATGAAAATTGATTCTCAAATAAAAAACATACACCCCCATAGTAAAGAAGTCGGTCTATAAGTACAGACTCTTTTAGATTGAGCGAGTCAATAAAATTCAATATTTCTTTATCTTTCCTCTCATTCCCTTTTTCATTTCTTATTTCTTTCTTTCTCTTGTTTATTAATTTTTATTCATTTTACATATGCATTAGAGATAAACTTTTAGCCCCCGTTTGGTACGAATTAAAATATGATTTTAATCTCAAATTAAAATTAACAATTAATTTTAACCACACATTTCATGGAACCTACAACTTTTCAACCACACATTTCATCAACTTTTATCAAAATCTACTAAAAATCTGATTTTAATTTACAACAAACATGGGCTTAATTTAAACGTCTATTCATCAAACATCAATATTACGTAAATCGAAAGTCTTTCTATAATCTATTTATAATAATCTTATTCAGTCTCACTGATACTAAGCACTCGTTTACTTGTCCATTAAGTAACATTAACTGACTGAACATCTTAAATAAAAAGATATAAATCATATTAAGTTAATTAATTCGACCCGAAAGTTGACGTTTATCATGTTTATCCATTGGAATAATTGGCCGGTATTTATTTATATCGATTGATGAATATTTAAACGGCTTGAAAATCAGTTAACATTAAAAAAAAAAAAAACATGAAAAACGCAAAAGAAGCAAATAATTTGGCCATGGACGACCAATGACTTGATAATGAGCCAAATGATTGGTCATACCTTTTTGTATAGAAAAGTATTTGCAATTTTTTCTGATCAATTAAATATTTTTAGATCTTTATCGTTTACTTGTTTATTTAATTACAGTTTATACCAAAATTGTCAAGTTAGTAACAATTTTTTGAGTCTAACCTTAGAAAAAAGTTCACAAAACTCGAGCCATTGATCACAATTAAATGGGAGGGAAGATTTCATAACCAAGAGATTAAGTTTTACCAATTTCAAATTTAAGAAATTAAGTTTAAAATTTCAAATCTTAGATTTCTTTTTAATTTTATTTATAAATTAATTAATTAAATATATTAATGTCACAATTTCATATAATTTGATCACAAATCACAATTTTTACATGTCACAAATTATTTTATGGTCACAATTCAAAAATTCTATAGGTCACAATTTGTTCAATGATCACAAATCAAAATTTATATGTCACGATTTATTCATCGGTCACAAATCTATCAAATTAATAATCACATATTATTTATTGATCACAAATCACAAATTTTATAAGTCACAACTTATTTTATGGTCATAAAACATTAAATTAATTGGTCACAAATTATATTTAGGTAACAATTTATCAAATTATTGGTCACAAATTTATAAATTTTTAGGTCACACAGCATGTATTGGTCACATATTGTTTATTGGTCACACACCAACCAATTTATTGGTTATAATCAACCAAATCATTTGTGACCACCACCACACTGTTGCAACAACCTAAACCAACATCGCCGAACCACCAACACAATATCCCGGCAACAAACCATCGTCTCGAATATCGTAGCCAACATCACCACCAACACCGCATAGATCTACCACCACGCGCACCGCACCACCCACAACACACCACCACCACCTTCTCTATCTCCATTTACACCACACCCAACCACCACCTCACCATAAATCCACCGTCGTGCCCATGCCTACACTGCACCACCATCGCATACCACACAGATCCACCGCCACGCCCATGCCAACAGCAGTACAAACAACGATGGTTCGACATCATTGCCGACAGTGAGCTGTGTAGCAACACTGCACAGCGCTCTCAGAGCAACGTCGCCGCGACGGTGTGGTAGGCATCATGATCCCAGCGTTGACGGTGCTCCGGTGGAATCAAAGCAACCGATCTGGAAGAGGAACTAGAAGCAACGCCGATTGGAGCGGAAGCAATAGACGTCAGAAAAGTGGTCGATCCAATGAGAGCACCAGTCGCCGCGAGAAGATGAAGAGAGAAGACAATGTGAGAATAGGTGGAATAGGTGGAAAATTCTCGGGTTTGTCGATTTGGAATGAAATTGAATAGGGTTTGTTACGGGTTAGTAGATGTAAGCAACACGTGGCATCACATTTTGACGGTGGGACCAGCTTGATTAAATCAGGACATGTTTTCCTAGCATCAGACGTGGGTTCCGAGGCCCTCACTATTGTTCCGAGGCCATTGCTGCTAACAATAAGCCACGGTTCGGTGGGCATGCATCGTCCGAAACTCCTCAGCAGCCATTGAAGACCCACTTGCAAAGATCCGCTTATGATGGAGATCTTTTATGAATGATTGACGTGACTCTTATGAAAAGTTTATCTATATCATGTCTTGTCAATGTAAGAGCATTTAATGTTTTGCAAAGCTAGGAAAGTCAACTTGAGTGCTAGGATTTGATGTCTTGGCCGAGGAGATGAGACCATGTGTAAAATGATCCAAAGGTCACCATTCGAATTGTAACACTATAAATACCCCCCCACCATGTAACACAAAAGGGACTAATGCAAAATTGGAGAGCAGACTGAATATTTTGGAGCAACCTCTCTCGTTTCAACTGCATTTTTTTTTACAACATTTCATTACTACAGCTCGTACTTTGTCGATTGGTTTCTTATATAATCGTATCATATTCTTGCCGGTGGCCTGAACGGAAACGTCTCGTGCCTTCTAGCCACTCTCACGCCTATTACCTGGAGCCATTATGACCGTCGATCGGCATTAGTGTGTTAGATCAAACTTGCGTGTGCACTAGTGGGCCCGACATCTGTTGGCAACATTTTTTGGGGTCAACAGGGTTTGTGATGAAATTTGTATAATTAATATTTAAAAATAAAATTTTTGATTTTTGAAAAATGAAACCTTATATCTGAAATTTGAAATTAAATCTTGAAAACTCTTGTTTTGTGTAATTTCCTCTAAATGAAATCACATATTTTCTCCTATCAACTTTTCAATTTGCCAAATTTCACTTTTAACCGCACATTTCATGAAATCCATAACTTTTATCACATTTCAACCACGGATTACGTAATTTTTTTTTATCAAAATCTGCTAATTTTTTTTGTCAAACAACTCCTTAAATTTCTTAAAAGCTAGTGATTAATCACGGTAAAAGTAAATGTCATACAATTCTTACATTTTCATCATTCGACCATAATAGAATCTCAATAATCAAGATACTTTTTATTGTATAATTATATTATTTCTCTCTCAAGATAAGTAAGATTATACTTGCAAAACCATAACAAGCAATTTACACAAAAGTTACTCCCAACAAATCACAAAGGCAAATATGTACTATTCTTTTTTCTTTCACAAGTTGGCTTTCTCTTAAGCTTGGGAAATTCCACATAACCTTGCAGGATCCACAAGATATGGGATGAGACTCCCCCAGCTCACAAAATGGGACAGCTATTTTGTTCCCTATAAAGACAATATATAACATGCATATTGAATCTAGCTGAGTTAATGAACAACGAATAGGGTTAAACGCACTCGTGGTCACTAAACTTCATTTTGTTTCAACGCCACTAGTGTTTTTAATTCGCAATGTAGATGATACTTACTTCTTTGTATCTTCGTAGCGGCTTAGTGCTTCCTGGAATTTAAGCCAGAGAGGACCTGTCTCTTGTAGGTTCACATTCTGTGGCCCAGAAATATAGGCCTGAACTACAAACTGGGGAGATCTTTCCCTGCCAATGCATCAAATTTAATAATGAGACGAGGTTTTAAAAAGAAATGAAACATCCTGGAATCCAGAAAACAAAGAAAAGTTTTTAAGGCTGGGGTACTCAAAGTGAGAAGTGCACCTTCCTTCATATTCTGATAACCAAGCCATGTAGGCTGCTCCGAAGTACATGGAAATGAAAGGATAGGTAAGATCTTCAACTGACTTTACTATGTAACCCTTGTAGCCCAAGTCCCTAGACATCATGTCCAGCAAATTCAGGAAGCTTTATTAAGCATAAGTTCAACATATAAACAATGATTTCAGCAACAAGTACAACTCCAATTGAGCATTGATATTTTGACAAAAGAATCTTCTGCTGCTTAAAAAATGGGATGGAGATCAAGATGAAGCAGCAGCAGTTTGGCATTAGGAATTTCAGGTTTACACAGTTTGCAATGCAAATTATGGTGTTTCTGCATAGAATGTTGCTGTACCTTATTTATATATATGGCCAAAATAACTATACTGATTGAGTGATTGTGATGGATCAGCTAAATCCAAAGAATAAAAAAAATCCTTGTTTCATACTTTCATTATCAGTAGGGAAAATTTCAGTTCAAGTAACATACTTGTAAAGCCAACATGCAGTGGGATAGTCAATACCCATTAGTCCTGTACGTTGTCCGACTCCATTCACGAAACGCATGCTAACAATCTCAGCAATAGCACACAAAACAGTCTGCATAATAAGTAAGGTTAAAAGTAATTTAAATCAATAATTTCTTGTTTGAAGTTTTTTCTTTGTGTGTGTG